CCCCAAAACCCCAAAACCCCAAAACCCCAAAACCCCGTACTTAAATTCCTTTAATGAAATAGTAAATAATATTTCTGATAAACACCTCCACATCAATGAGCTTGAACAACATTCACAAAAGACAGAGAATTAATGAAGACGCCTCACTAGCATATGACATGTCTAGTTATGGATGCTACATTAATTCTGACTCAAACTTAGCAAGAACCTCAAGAAAGAGACGTGCTCCAAATGCTTCCAAAAATGGAAAGTCTATAAAAACAAATAAGAGCATTTTTAAAGTTGCGAAAGGATGCTCTGGCAAGAGAAGGAAACATATCCTTAACTTTGAACAGATCAGTGTTTTGGAGAACTACTTCCACATCGATCCTGACTGGAAAATGGCAACAGTTGGTAAGCTACACTTTCACTTTATATCTTATATTTTAACACTAAATTTATGTTAATGGTACTTACTGTTCTAAATAGATGCAGCAGCTACTCAACTCGGCCTTCCAGTGAAGAAGATCTATAAATGGGGATACGACAGAAAGCATGTCTCAAGAAGCTTGGGAGAAATCAAACCAACAAACTCTGATGACTTCAATGGACTTGTAGACGAAATTTTAATGCTAAAGTCTAAAGAAGCTGATATGACAAAGAAAACCTACCCAAAGAGAGAAAAAGCAGCTAACAAATCCTCTTTTACCGAGAAGAATTCCTCTGGCAATCAGAAGCAGAATAACCTAGAACAAAATTTAACCAGTATTGAAGATTTTTCCGATTTTAAATTCAATGATATTGAGAAGACTCTTTCTGCTGACTTGAATACTACCTCTCCTAAAGCAGAGCAAAGACAACAGGTTACCTCAACTTATAGTAAGGAATTAACAGAGGGATTTATCTCCGATACTTATAAGGACTCATTCTGGCCGACTGAGGACTTTTTCGGGCAGAAAATCTGAGATGCAGATATTTCAACACAAAATGTATTCTCACTCGATCATTTGCAATTTGAGAACATCTGGTCGCCCCTGTTGTAATCCCAGACCTTACAACAGGGATTTAGGAATTTTAGGTTAATTAATTCTAATAATAATTCACTAAAAAGTATTTTTCCAGGGAAAACTCCATTATTTTTAAGGGATTAAAAATTTCCAAAAATGAAACAGTGTCTCTATCCCTGAGTCATTACGATTCAGATACCCTACCAGTACAAAGCTCATAAAGCAAAAATAAAATCCATTCAGTTGTCCAGTTAGAATTCTCAAAGGGAAAATTATATAATGAATACACTTCATCTCTGATCAATTTTTTCTGATGTTCATGTCTGAGACTAATTAGAAGGTCTATTCTGTTGGTCCTATTTTGCTAATTTCGGTTTTACAAATTAACAAAAAGTACAGTTCATTTTTGGCATAAATGATTTCTGAAACAGAAAAGTAGTTACTGAAACTGGTGCTAAATCATTCTCAGATCAAACTGAGTTGCTGTATGTTAGCTCTTCTCCTTTTCTTTGTTATAGATAACATTTGGCAAATGCCATCGTGAAAATTCCTAATTTCTCAATTTAAGCTAACAAATTCTGTGAATGTTCAAATTAGGTTATAAGCAGGATTAGAGTTACAACATACTTGAGCCAATAGGGCAGGCGCTACCTCTGTTAGAGACACTCTTTATGCTATTAGTAAAGCAAGGATGCGCTTAGTGTTTTTAATACAGTTTCGTAATTTTAACATTTGAGACAGTTACATAAATGCAGCCACTTGTTCTATATACACTTGTCAACTCTATTTGACAAAAGGGGTTTTGGGGTTTTGGGGTTTTGGGGTTTTGGGG